ACCCAGAGAGCTGGGCTCTGCTGCAGCCCTGATCTGAACTGGTCCCCACCAAGCCACACCTGCCCTCACCAGCAGATGAGATAAACTGTTGGTTTTTTCCTCTGCTGGCCCCATGAGAAACCACTCAGGGGGGCACAGGTCTGCTGCCTGTTTTCACAGATCTCACCAGGCACCCTGCCACTCCTCTTGCCCTGCTTGGGTTTTCCCTTTTGCTTAAGCAGCATTCCCAGCTACTGGTGATGTTTTTGGGTGACAACTCAGCAACCCAAAGCAAACTGGTTCTCAGCAGAGACTAACCAAGACCCCTGAGGTTACCCTTTGGCAAAGACCTTGCAAGGCCTGGGCACAGCATGATGGGACCAGCACTGAAAAAGGCACCAGGTGCTCAGCCACAAACCCTCCACATTATGCTCTGGACCAAAGAGGTGGTTTGAGAAAAACACCACCAGTATCCAACTACAACTTTATAGCAAGCTCACTGCTGCGGGCAGCCTGTCTCCCAGAGCAGCAAGCCCTGGGCACGGGGCTGCTTTCACCACTCACACTGTCGAGATGGGGCCCCAGGGAGTGCTGTGGGCAGTGCCTGCCGTGCCACGTCCTCCCTGACCAGGCAGCTGGGCCGAGGAAGGGGACACTTGGTGTGAACCCCCATCTCCATCCCCAGCTCCACACAAGCCGGGACAAACCATCTCACCAGATCTATCAAATAATCCTCATCTTTCTCACCAACAAGTTGTGAAGCTTCATCCACAGCTTCCAAGCACCACCACCTGCTCGCCGGAGCAGCAGCTGGACACGATGCAAACCTGGTTTCAGGGGCAAGGCTGAGCTGCCCCGCTGGCAGGAGTGAAGAGGAGCATGGATCCACTCACCCCATCCCTGTCCCACCCCCGCTGCAGGCCTGGCTCTCCCCGCACAGAAAGGGATGTGAAATTTCTTGGCGTGGAGCAGAGGGATTTACTAGGTGCAAGAGGAGGAAGCTGAGCCCTGTGCTCTGGTTTTAATAAGGTGGCAATAAGCAACGCGTCTTTCTGCCCTCAGAATTCCTCCTCTTCAAGTACAAGATTTATTAGAGGAGCCATAAATCATTTCATGTTGCAACTGGCCAAAAAAGCCCGACATTTTTATTGTTTTTGATTAATAGATTTATAATTGGCAGCAGGCATGGCAGCCTCTGCGTTTATTTTTCCCAAGACTTTCTTCCTTTTCCTCGCAGCTGACGCAGCTTGGCCTCCTTTACATGTTACTTTTTCTCCAGATCACTTATTGTTTTGATTTCAACTGAATTGTGTTCCCTTTGGTCCTAGTCCACGGGTACTATCTTTAGGCAGAGTTTAATTTTGGGTGGTTTAGAAAAGGGCACTGCTGAAACACCCTGAAAAGAACACAAACATCCATTTTTATTTCCTGCTGCTGGCTGGGCTGAGGAGGAGCTTTCCCCAGCCAAGTCCCCAGGTCCATGCCCCTTCACACCCTTCAGAGCTCAACTGCCACCAGCAGCAGACGTGGCCTCACTTCTCCCAGTCCCGTTCAAAACGTGCCTTGGAGTCCACCAAGCCACGTCGGACCCCAAACTCCTCCAGGGCCACATCACCTCATCACCCCAGGCTGAGAACCCCTCTCTGCACGCTGCCGGGGGCACAGCTGGACCTCTTCCTGGAACCGGTGTGCAGCGACTTCCTGCAATTTGTTTTGAATTAGTCCCCACATGTGTAGAGAGAGGGTTGAACTTTTATTAGCTGGGCAAGCAGGGATCAGATGTCAAGAGAAAACCATCTCCTCCAAGCGACAGCTCAGAACTGTTCCACCAGCACCCTGGAAGCACTGGCCACATCAAGCGGGCTGCAAACCCAGGAGAAAGTACAGCCCAAAGCCCTAAGTAAAGCTTCCAAAAAAAACTCCCATTCTCTTCCAGGCCAAGGGCAGGTGGGACACAAGCTCTACCAAAGGAAGCAAGGGCTGAACCTCACGGACTGGAGGAGTGGTTTAAGACACACACCCAGTCTGAGTGGACAATAACTGGTTTGAGTCATGCACTTAAAGAGGACAAGGCAGCATAAACGAAGCAAGTGTTGGTAAAAATCAATAATCATTTATAAGCTTGTGACACCTTCAGATCTTCTAAAAGGAGTTCTCTAGCAGAGACTGATAGATAAATGGATAGGAAATTGCCAGGAGGAGGAAAAGACTGTCCATAAGGGATATGTGGCTCCTATGTTGCCCCTCCCTGACATCTCAGGAGGGGTGATCTGCACACCTCAGGATGAAACTGTGGTACTCACAGCCACAAGACATGCATGCCTGAAGGTTAAATGGATACACACCACTAAACTCTGCATGCTTTCAAGGAGAGAAGTCCATCATGAGTCACTAAACACAAAGCCACCCTCTCCTCCAAAGCCTGGAGCTCCAGTGAGAGATTCTACCATGGACATACCCCCAGTAATGCCCCATCTCTGTGCTCTTCCCTAGACACTGCTCCCAGCCAGTGCTAAGGTGAGGACACCAGACCTGTCCTGGAGAGATCTGTTCTCAGCTACCCAACAGCTGCTCCCTGCCCACATGTACAGCAATAAAAAAGTCTCTTCTGTAGAACAGTATTTAAATATAAGCAGACCATCCTGTCCTCCCCTGACACACACAGAGATACAAGACCAGAGATGTAGCACGTCCTTACCCCGACAGGCCTTGTGTCCTCCAGATGCCACCAAGGGCTGTCAGAACATTGCCACTCGCATTGCTGGAACCAGCCTGCACCACAGAAAGAGAGGGATTGGAAACTGTTGGCAGAGAGGTTAGGTTATTCACTGAGCTCCCAGTCCTCAGTGCTACACTGCAGGAACTACAGACATCCTAATGACCTCCTTGGCACAGGCAAAAACTCCTTGTCCCCAGGAATGAGGCAAAGGGCAGAAAGGGAAACTGAGGCACAGAAGAACAAAATGATCGTGCCACAGTCACAGAACTGGTTAGTGCAGAACTGGGAATCCAGTCCCTTCTGCACTCAGCTCTACATCCAGCAACTGACACTGGCATAAAACATTAATAAAAACCACCCTTTCAAAGCACCAACGAGTGATTTTGCTGCTCACTGCGAGAGGACAGCAGCCTTGAGGTTTACTCAGAAGAAAACCAAACAATATGAGTAGTGGATTGCATGTGAAAACTGCCTCGAGTGCACCACAGAGGACAAACAGCAGGGCTACAGGCAATTAAATTACACGTGTGATTTAGTTAGTGTGAGATGACTGATGTAGAGATGCTGTCTGAGTGGTCTCAGAACACCTCGAAGCACCATCATTCCCCCCCCAGTGCTGACCTGGCTGCTCAGGACAGCCACAGACATAAATGAAACCCAGTTCTCACCTTTTATCACCCACTCTGGGCAAAGGCAAAGCAGCTGCAGTAGGTACAACACCCAGCAATGAGATACACGACAGGGTGAGTGCAGATGTGCCTGGGACTGGGAGGTGCATGTCATCCAGAAGGAACACTGGACTTACAAGCAATTTAATTACTTATTAAACTTACTGATCTTACAAGCAATCTCCCTTCTGCCCTGGTTGGCAGACATAAGCCATCACAATCTCTATGGCTTAAAATTTCAGGACTGAAAATCCAGCACCAAGCCCTCCTCCAAAAAGACACACACACACACACAATTCAAACCCAACAATTATCAAAACACCAGAGGAACAAATTGGGCAGTTTAACTTTGGGTGTCTGAGTCTGCAAGGATTTCTCCTAAAGATGGTGGACAAGTCTCTGGAAGCCCAGCACAAGGGCAAGCCTTTGTCAGACAGCTCCTTTGGGAAAGGTCCAGAAGAGCAAGTCAAGGAAAGGAGCACAACAATTTCATTAGTTCTGCATGCAGTACCTGTTCACATCTAATCCTGCCTTGGAGGACAGCAGCAGAAATCACTATTAATAGGTGCTGGATTTCATTCTGTAACGACCATACAGAAACTCTGGAAGTCCCCAAGCCCTCCACCTGCATGTCTGCTGCCCTCCTCCCCTCTTACCTTGGCCAACATAATTCTCGTCTTCGCTACATCGAGAGGTGTGGTGACTGCAGCTGCAAATCCACCTGAGCAAAATAAAGCACCAAACAGCAGTGAGATGTTGTTGGGAGGATGTGAATGCCACGCTGCCTGTAATTCCTGTGGCTGTGGTCAACACTGAGCCAGTATGAATGCCCAAGGCCTGTTTCCTCACGTCAGGGTCCAGGTACGGGGACATCTGTCGAAGGTCTCTACACAGAGTGGTTTATTCCTCTGTGTGGACTTAAGGAAGCAGCTCTACACTAGTTACAGGTAAATCCAAACATCCCCACTGAGACTGCTGTCCTTTTGTTTGGGACTCTACATACAGGAACATACAAAGGTGTAAAGATGTTGGATTCCACTTCCAACACCTACAGACAAGTCTGGAAGGAAGAACCTGCTTATTCGTTTGCAGAGATGGGAAAATAAGGTTGTCACACTGTGTTCTGCCTTGAGAATTAAAGTCTGACCATTCCAATCCTAGAAAGATAAAGAGGAAAGATGCTCTGCATCTGAAACACACTCAAACCAGGGGCAATGTCATCCACAGGATACAGACAGACTGGACCTGGATTTCAGGTGCTAGACCTGGGACTCTGTTTCAAGGACAAAAGACAAGCCAGTGTTTGGGATGGAGCTCATCTCCAACAAATGAAATCAGCTCCATTTTGGATAACAACAATGTGAAGCTGCCCAAGGGTCTTTGGAAATTGTCAGGAGCCTGCTGCTGCAAGTGCCATCTTCCCCTCTTGGGCATTTTTATTCTCTGTATTCACTCCCAAACTTCACCCTTGGAGCTCATTACTTTCACTTGAGGCAGCCAGCTCAGCTGTGGCTTTCCTCCTGAAAGCCAGAAATCCTCAGCTTATCCATCTGCATGTCTCACCCACAAACGTGTGTGTGTCTGTCTCCATATTTTAACCCTGTGGCTACAGCCTGGCCTCGTGTGCTATACGAGCATCAGCTTTGCTGCTTTTTCTCCCAGGATCCTATTCCCTTTGCCTTATTTCCCCAACCTAAAATTAACTCTCATCTCTCTCTCACTACCTGTTCACAGTATTTCAAGCAAGTAATTCATGCTGAGGAAAAGCCAAAGTGAAGCAAACTTTTAAAAGGTAGGAGTAGCCCAGCAATAAGTGGGGGAAGGAAAGGGGGGAAGAAAAGAGAGAGACTTGTTCTGAAATCTCTCTTCCTTCTTCTTCCTGTTTTTTTCTCTGGAGTTTGTATAAATCCTGTATCTGCTACAGCAGGGAACAAAGTGACTCCAAAGACTGAAGCCTACACAGTACCCAGGGAATAAGCTAAAAATAGCCTAGTTTCTGTTCCAAGTTTTGTGGAATGTAGAAAAATTGACATCTCTTTTCTTGGGATGGGATAGAGGAAAAGCATTTCATCTAAAATGTGTAAGTAATGAAGAAATCCATCTTCCCTGCTGGCTTGTGTTTTTACCTGCACCTCTCCCTCTCAGCCACCTCTGCTTTAACACGCTGAAACCTGCTTTATGTCCCAACAGAGGCTGGGCCAGCTGGCACTCCACACTCACTTCTTACAGTTCATTAAGGAACGTCCCCTGACAGTTCAGGAGATGCAGTGAGGCACATGTGCAGCCCTCTGGATCTCAGCAGGCAAGCCAAGCTAGCCAACAGCCCAAAACACCTAGTTTAGGAGCAGCTTCTGCTCACATAAGGTTGGCCCATCCGGTTCGCTCTGCCGGAAGCTTTCTAGCAGTGATACCTCACTAAAAAGCAGAAAAATGGGTTGTATTCAAGAAGCCAAAGCAGAAACTATGAGCAAGCTAAACTAAATTCCAGCCCAATCTTGGACCTTCTTTAAGGTCAAAAATCTTTTTATTGTGAGCCAGTTTTTGAGTAAGTGACCCAGAGGCTTTGAGAGAATGGTCTGGATAGAAACTTTGGTACTTGTGTCAGTGATGTATTTTTAGAACAGTAAAAATAATCTCCATGGAAAATAGCAGCTTTACAAGTCTGGATGTAGAAGCCTTTCCTTTGCCCACGGACCAAGATAGAATTAAATAAAGAGTGAACCACATGGCTCACATGGCTGTCAGGCCTGTATCAAGAAAAAAATCTCAATGCATCACTCAGCTACAGAGCTGATAGTAACCCTTCAGTCCCATTAATTTATTTCCCTTATCAGATCACAGCAATTTTTTAAATGCATTTGCTCCTAACAGTTTCTTATAGGCAGAAGCTTCAATCTTGGCTGATTGTGAATAATTAGAACAAACACAATTTATCCTGATATGACGTTCGCAAATTCTTATCAGAAAGGTTTAATCGAGGCTGACTGGTTTTCATCCTTCCTCAGCTAACATCTGGATCTTTCAAACTCTTTTGTTATTAGCATTTTAATGTTTCTCCTTCCATCACTGGGAAGTATTTGGTACAGATTTACCAATCAGTTTTGAATGACAGCAACAAAAAAATGCTTCATAAGCACAACAAGCAGTAGGAAAGCCTCTAAATTAAATGCAAGTTTGTATATGCATGACAAAACCACAAGATTAAAGGAGCATTATATTGAAGGCAGTCTGACAAAATGAATTTGATCCAGCTTTAACCCTAGATGTCCAAGGTAATTTTAGAGTGACCTCTTCCACGTAAGTACACAGGTATCCAAGAACAGGCTGCAGCACTAGTGAGGTTCTCCTCAGTCCCACCTGCCCGAGCTGGCTAAAGAAAATTAACACATGACTGTTTCTGACCATCAGCTAAACCCCAGAGATACAAACTAGTACAGCCAGAGTCCACTCATTCAAAGCAGGAGGGCTGTGCACTGCACTAATACACAGTAAGGCCCAACACATCTTTAAATCATTCCTTTCAGCCTATTCCTACAGTCAATTCTCCAAGAGCTGCCACATAGGGCTGGAGCCTGCTCAACTAGTCAGCAACCAGGAAAAGCAGATATCAAAGCATCAGGTGGGCAAGAAAGGCCCAGACACATCCAGCCTTACACTCCCAATCATTCTGGCTGCCCTGCAGAGCTGGCAGAGAAAAAGGCACCGTCACAGGCAGTCTGCACTCAGACAGACTCACCACCTCATTCCTCCTTTCTCCCTTGCCCTAGAAGGATCTGGCCATGACTTGGGCTCAGAAAGTAGGCATAAAGGTGGCTTTTCACATGGGAGAAGGTTCTCAGCTTGTTAATGCTTCTAGCAGAGTGACAAACTCCTCTCCTGGGAAAATAAAAGTTGACACAGTAGTGGCAAATTCATCACCAGTCTCCCAAGAAGCTACAATGGACACTGTACATTCACACACCAGCTGAGCAGCTGAACTTCACCAAGCTCAGGGTGTTGAACAGAAAATCCCTCTGCTACTCACACATTCCCAGTGACCAGCTCCTGATGGAAGCACTAGTGTCAGACATCTGCAGAGAATTATTTACCTTTGTTTGGCAATAAGAATGAAGTCCTGAAGACATGAGATATTCCCCTGGGTTCCTGCTGGCATTTCCTACCCTTTTAGCTGTGATATTCCAATGATAATTAAGAAGCATCAGAACAGAGTGAAATACTTCACCTGAGAACAACAGGCAACCCTAAGTCCTAGCAGCAAGGTGGCTGCCCGCAGAATGCAGGAAAATGTTTCATGGGTTCTTTGACACACTCCTCAGACAAGATCTTATGAAAGGAGGAAGATAAGTTCTTCAGTCCCCTGACCTTTTTTCTTTTTTTTTTTTCTGTAGCATTTTAACTTCTCCTTACCCCTTCTAAAAGGTCCAGGGAACCCTTTTGGCCATCATAGGTGCTCTTCCTGATCCTGTGCTTCTGTCATCTGGCCAAACCCCCTAGTCTCTCTTCTGTAACACCAGCCCAGTTCAGTAGGTCAGGCCCAACTTGTGCTTGACTAATATCCTTGTTTGAATTAGCCCAGCTCACAAAAGGAAAAAAAAACAAGTAGAGCTGTATCATTCTTTACTATTTTCTGTACTGACATCTGAAGGTTACCCAGGACTGATTCAGAACTGAATCCCCAAACCAGGTTGAAAAACTGGCTTGCACAGGTCCAGCACTACACCTCACAGTATCCTCTTACACTGACTGATTTCCAAATTCACAAACATTTTTGTTGTTTCTTTTTTTTTTTTTTCCTCCCAGAACTCTTCACTCAACCAGTTTTTATTTGAACTTTTATTTTATTGAGGTTATGTTAATTTTATTTTTTTAAATTTTTCTTTAAGAGGACCTTTATTCTGGTCCTTGATCACTGTGGGAACAACCCATTTTTGTTCTTTCTTTTTTTTTTTTTCTCCCAGAACTCTTCAATCAACCAGTTCTTACTTGAACTTTTATTTTATTGATGTTATGTTAATTTTTTTTTTTTTTTATTTTTCTTTAAGAAGACTTTTATTCTGGTCCTTGATCACTGTGGGAACAACACCTGCCAATGGTAGAGCAAAGTGACCCAAGAGCCTCTTTGGATTTCAGCAGAAATACCAAAGGGCAAAGCACTGCTCCTCCAGCAATTTCACCAGTTCAGGGTTAGAAGCATGGTCCAAGCAGACACTGCTGGGAAATCTTGAGGACTATTCAAAAATTTATTCAGAGCTATAGAGTTAAAGAGGCTTTTAGACACAGTGTGTAATCTTGTCAGAGCTGATTAGATCAAACCAAAAGCGCTGGGAAGTCCTCTCTGTTAATGTGCAAAAAGCTCTCCTTAGTGCTTTATTATTCACTAGGCTTGTACCTCCATTCTCAGCGACTTTGTCACCACTGAGCATTAATAATTAACATTAAGCCACACTTCCTTTTACAGTAGGGAGAAAGGTGGTGTCTAACAGAGGCAATTGTCAGGCATGTTAAATGGACACTGGGGTTCTTTGACAGGCTGGAGATCACCTCGCTGCTCCAGGGCAGTGCTTTGCTTTCCCAACAGCTAATACCCTATGGCAGGATTTCCCTGCCACCAGCCCACTTCCACAGAGGACACAAGACCTAGCCAGAAGCTCTTCTGGGACAGTCTCCCCTGGCACGTAGCGGGCTGGGGTGCTGTGGTTCAGGCAGGCAGCCTAAGCCCAGAGAAGACTTGAGCACGAAATGCGACCACAGCTGTGCCTGGCCTGCCACAGCACGAGGACACGCTTCCCTCCTCTGCCTCCAGCCTGCCAAAGCCTGTGCCCAACGCTGGGCTGCCATCCAAACAGCTCAAATGTGAGGTCAGGTTTGGGTCAGTGCAACCCCATGCTTACAGTGTCACACAGGTCTACCCTTGGGTTCCTCCCCACCGTCTGCTCAGGTATCACCTTCTCCCGCTCCCCGACTGCTCCAAACATCTCCTCTGCTTAACACACTAGAGATAATGATAAAGCTGGACAAGGCCTCCAGAGATTCATTATTAACAGATGGGACAGAGACAATTCCAAATCTCTGATATTTATGCTCGTGCCTATTATGTTTCTATTAAAAGCCCATGGATTGCATACGTACATCTTACCCACGTGTGCTCAACAAGGAAGAGCTGGGCCTCTCCAGCACTTTGGCTGAAGTCACTGCCACTGCACAGGCACTGGGGATGGAACTCAGTATATTGTTGCTCTTTGTTCTGTCTTTGCCAAATGATCAATTATGATTTAGCTAGGAGCTAATCAATGCACACAGACACACACAGATGTGTGTGACATAAAGAGATGGCAAACAGGACTTTTCTTTTAGTTTGGTTCAGCTTACCACCCTGCCCCTCAGGACCTCTAACGTATTTTTAGAAAGTATTGAATTCAAGCAAAGAACACAGGAGAAAAGCATGTCTGTGTGATTTTGCCATCCCATTACTACCGTGGTGGCATTTGACAGCATCTCTGTGCTTAAAGGTTGGTTTTTGTATTACAAACTTTAAAAGGAGAAAATTATCCAATTTAAAATCACATGTGCATCTTTGTTTATTCACAGGGCACTGGTGAGGTTTTGATTTTTTTGTTTTGGGGTGGAAAGAAAGGGATAAAGAGTTTTGTCTGTTTTTTCTTCCCTCATTTGAAGCTATATGTAGGTAGCTAATAATTTTTAACTATGGAATTCATTCTTCAGAAAGCAGGAAATTATTTTTCCACTGCCTCCATTCAGTCCAAAGGCTAATTATTTTCAGTGAAACAGAATGGATGCAGTACCAGGTTAGATCAATACAGGGCCTGCTTGTTCCACCTCTGCAGAGGAAGGCAATGGACATGGAAAGGAAAGGTTCCGATCCAAAAAGAGCTGAACCTCATGAGTTCAAAGGGCATATGACAAAGGAAGTTTAAAATACTGCTGGTGAAAAGGAAAGAATAAGGAAACAAAGCACAGAGAAGGAAACCCAGGCTGGAGGAAGTAAAGCTGGAAAGATAACCCAGAGAATATTTATCATCCCAAATTACAACATGATCTATAAAATAGTGTGCCAGCTCTGCAAAGATTTGTGAGCTGAGCTGTCTCATCCACTACCACCACAGCCCTGGAAGACTGTGCTGCTCCACAGAGGACTTGGTGTCTCCTCCAGCACAGTGTTAGATCTTCCCAGTGTCTGCCAAAGTGTTCCTGCACAGCCGTGCCTCTGGAAGCTCCTTCTGCAACACTTCTGCTAGAAGGTGAGTGGACACTACTGAACATCCATCAAATAGCAGCAAGTCCAACCACAACTGGTCAGAATCAAGAGATACAGAGAAGGAAATAGAGGCAATGGGCTAGATTTCCAATTGAGGCACCAAATTGGACTTCAGGAAATTGCTCCACAAGCCTTGGGTAAATCAGATAACCTTCCCAGCTCTCTGAACATGCCTGAACACAGGTTTTGTATCAATTTGACTGTAAAGAAATCAGCAGAGCTAAATTAATGATCCCCTATCACACCTGCAGACGTACAGATTGCATTTTAAAGCATTTTTTAGTCTAATAGTTTGTTGTGTTTCAAAACAAGACTAACAATCTGCTCCAATTGCTGACTTTGTTTGCACAGATTTGATGAAGAAAATCCAACAGCAGACCAAATTTTAAGCAGAACAAAACTCCCTTCCCAGCACTTAAACATAAAAAATACAACGGGACAAGACTGCAAGAGATCATCTAAAATATCCCCTCTGCCCCAAAATGGAATCAATTCTACCTAAACCATTTCCTCACAGCTCATACACCTGGTCTAAGCTGTGTGAAGTTCCAGCCATGCTCCCTTCTCTCAGTCACACAGTTACAAGCTCCCATCAAAACGAAGCCTCAGTCTCCACTGGAATTCTGCTACTATAAATACTTTAATTCCCCTAACAGAACTTATTTTTTTTAAAAAATAGCACACGATGTAGTGGCTCTGATTTTGTAAGTCATCAAAGAACAAGCTTTGCTTTTGATAATCTCTATTTCAAGAAACGCTATAATTTCTCTTTAAACAGGATTTATTTTTTCCACATATTCTGTTACTGGTTTGGAAACTCAAAATGTATTTTAGCTCCTTGGGGAAAAGCTCTGGCTACCCATCTCTTAACTACTAATCTGTTTTTTCTATTAAGACAGTTGAGCCTCTCCTCCCTCAAACTTGTCAGCTATACTGATGAGTCATTAATTGACTTTTTTTTTTTCTTTTTTTTTTGGAAACAACTACAGTAGGCTAAAATCAAGCAAGAAGCCTACCGAAGAATTCAATTAACTTCTGGCTTGTTTGGTAATAAATAGTGCAGTATTGTATTCTGCCACTCTTTATTCTTGTGCTAGTGTCTGGAGATTGCCCAGATGTTTCGTCCTAGGTTTTTTTTTGGCTGTGGAAGGCTTTTGCCTGGGGGCTGTGCAGCACTAGCCTCTGCTCTCCTGGCTCTAGTTAATCTACATGGCTGTCAGAGCTGTCACATGAATGGTGAATCATGGCCTCTCGCTGCAATCACTTCAGCCCCTGGGGAAGTGCTCAGAGCAGACAGCTGCACAAACCCCCACCCCAGCAAAGTTTCTCCTGGATGAGGATTTTACAAATCAACTTTGAAATAATCGCAAAGCCTGACTGACAGGCCCCTGGTTTTTAGAGAAGAGAAATTTGTCAAAAACAAATTGGTTGTCTTTCAAACAGACACTCTGTTTGAGTCTTTTTTTTTTTTTCCCTTCTCGTTCCTTTGCTGACTTTCCTATTCCCAAACAACAACTGGATCGTTTTCTTCTAAACAAACTTGAATTACAAAGGAATGTTGTTCTGCTATACTTAATAGATTTGCACATTTTTCCCTTTCTTCTTTAGTCTTTCCCAGTATAACATATAATCCTTTGCACCTGCAAAAGCTCCACAGACTGCTGACTGCCAAGAATCCACCACGTGACCCTGCTTCCATGACCAGAGATCCTGTGTTTAAAGAGAAAGGAAAATAAAAAGTTATTAAATGTTTGAATCTATCTGATCCCCATGTGAGTTAACTCCAAGGATGGGAACTTAAGTGAAAAGCTATTTTTGTGGCATTTTTCAGTGATGTAATAAGTGATTTTTCCCAAGGAACTTGTGTACTTGAACGAGCAGATGGAGTGAGAAAGATGTCTGGAACTGAGGAGGGCTTGAAGCAAATTGCTTTCAGGGTTTTCATATGTATGCATTTAAGCCTGTGGCAATGAAACTTCACAAATATTTTGTGAATTTATTTTCTTTTTGGCAGATAAAACAGTGCAAAGCAAAACACTGAGCTGGGGGGCATGCAGGAACCAATATCAGTTCAGCCCAGATGTACCAGACACTCCCATTTAAAATGAACAGTCCCCAGCACAGAGAGATCCAAGTCCTGTTTGCCCCCCTGCATTTCTTAAACCAACCCTTCCCTTCCCATTCCCCAAAATCCCCCATCGTTAAGGAATTACTCTTATCACACCCATTACATCCCAAAGCAGGTGTGTCTGTTTTCCACTTGGCGTCCTCGGGGACCACACACCCTTCTCCTCCCCACCACACACCAGTCCATGAGCTCCCAGCACTGCTCAGACGTGCACATCTCTGCACCCCAACAGGAGTGGTGCCTTCTGAAGAACACCACTCGTGGTGCCTTCTGAAAAACACCTATCAAGAACCACGTCAAACAGGCTGAGGAGTCCGCTCAGCAGCAGCCAGGAGGAGCAGCACGTGCTGGGAGGGGTTTTATCGTGCCAGCTCCAGTCACTTTGTCCTCTCCTGCTCCACTGAGCCCCGCTGCCCCTTTCCCACCTCCCAAAATGCTTAATGTGGAAGTTCTCTGGAGGGGGGGTTTCTGGTTTACTGTGTGAGGACCAGTGCTGAGCAAAAAGGGATGGGATCTATGGCCCTTCTGAGGCCTACCGCAGAGAACTCAGTCATTTTATTTTACAGCTGTGGCACTATCTGTTTAAAGCTGTGTTACTTCCATACTATAACATCTTCTTAGAAGCAACCTGGCAGCTGTGCCAGGCTGAGGTCTTGCTCTGGGGCTCCTGGTCTGCAATCCAGCCACGTTCCACTGGGGCGCCAGAACTCGCTTCCCTCGTTTGCTGACTCCTCATTTAACACACTGTCCTTGTGACTTGCTTCTTCCAACTTGGCTGGTGGTTTATATTGCTGCTGAATGTTTTAAAAATCAAACTGTTCAAGCAACAATGGCCAGCCACAATGTTGTTTGGTATCTTGCCATAGCTAAATAGCTGCAGCTCCACTGTTTGAAAGCACTAAAGGGATTTCAGTCTCTTTAATGCTAGCCATTCTTACCCTGGTGTTTTCAGTATGAGCTTCTATTCTGCTGTCACCCACAGCACAAACTGATTTTCATCTCATAAATAAATAAATAGGGATTTATAATTCTTCAAATCCATAAGATGCTCTTCTGGACTATCTTACACTCTCTTTGGGCACACAGTATTCCTGCAGCTCGGTCCTGCTGGGTGAAGGACACATGCCCCCTAAGGCAAAAGGCACTACCTTCCGAAACATCTAGCTATTTGTCAAAGCATAAATCCCACCTTCAAAACCCATCTTTAAAACATTTCAGGTGCTTAAGAAACCTCAAATTGAAAGTCAGGATTTAGAAATTGAAGTGCTGAAGCCACTTGATAAAAACAGTATTACTGTATTTTTTCATTAAATGTTCTCCAAACATCTAAACATCTACAACTAAACCCAAGAATTCAGAACAGTTACTTCTGTCATGAAAACAGTAAAAGTGCTATGGAAGCTATGTTGGAGGACTCGGAGGAAAACCAGCACGTTACTGCAGATATTCATGGCTTTGCTAGAAGCCCAACCTATTCTCAGCCATGATGGGTTTTTATGCTAATGGCACTGTCCAAAGAAGTAGGAAAAGGTCATCCTTATTTCTTGGCATGTAGCTCTGAAATCTAGTTCTGATAAAGCCTGGCTTCCCAGTACAGCTCTGTGCAAAGAGCCTTTGCCAAGCAAGGCAGTGATGAACTCCCATCTGTCATGCCTGCAAATTGACAACAGGTATTTGCAACAGTCATGCAACATGGAAAATTGCTTAGAAGGGTGGAGCCAGGAACACTTCAATTAAATTAGGGAAAAGGAGAATTGAGGCTGGAGAACAGGAAGAAAATTCCCCAACAGTGAGGTCTGCTGAACAGCAGAGCCAGCCTCCCCAGGGAGGAGAGGAAAGCCCTCTCCTTTGAGTCATTTAAAAATAGACTGGAGAAGACACTCAAGACTGTACTGTGGGGAATAATCCTGCGCTGGCAAGGGCAGGGTGAGATGACTTCATGCATTTCTTTCCATCTCTGATGTGGGTGATTCATCCAGAGCTCCAAACCTGAGCGTGCAGAAGAGGGAGAGAGAAGGGCACGAGGACACCATCCCGGAGGAAGTGGAGAGGAACAAGTGTCACAGGGCCAAGAGGACTGGCAGGACTCTGGTCCAAATTCTTTCTAACCACACTCACGCTGCAGGCCAAGCTGATGTGCTGAAGGTCACACATGTTTTCTCTCACAGCCCAGAGACCCACTAATTGACAGGACTTTGTGGTAAGTTGGGCTTGTAAGTTCTTCAAAACCACTCACCTTTGTGCTGCACTGAGCTCAGTTTTAATACTAACACAAGGCAAAGCACAGAAGCTATTAAAGGCTTGTAATCCCTATAAAACTGGGGCCTTGTTCCTGGAAAGACATACAGGTTCCATGTACATGTCTCCCCAAAACACTGGCTTTGGACAAAACTGCTGGGTATTTGCAGTGACACAGTGCCTACACTCTGCCATCCTAGATGCTGCACAAATTCTGAGGAGCCTTCCACCCGGGGGATGACAGTGAGAGCTCAGGTCACACAGGAGATGGGTGTCAGAGACTGGCTCAGAGCTCAAGGCCCACAGCTCCCTGCTCAGGGCCTCCAAACAGGGCAGAAGCATCTGCAGAAGCCCTGCAGCTACACTGCTTGCTTCTTCTACGCATGCTCTTGCAATATGAAACACAAACTGGGAATTACAAGCAACACAACTGAAACAACTGGGTCGGCCTGCTTTCCTCACCAGCACCACCAAATGGCTCCCACCTGCTTCCCCCTGCTCCTCCTGCAGAAGGGCTGCAGGAGATAAGGAGACTTTTCCAGGGCAATATCCATTCCCACTAGGATTCACAGCCTAGGAAAGCCAAACGACAAGGAGCACATTACATGAAAGCAGCCGCCATGCCAAGCCTGTGTCATGTGTATTCTATTAAGCTGAAGACTGAATAGAAGACTTTGTTTTCCACTTCAAAGGACCCCATCCCAATCTCTCGCTCTTCCCTTATGAATAACAAATTGGAAATAAATCTTCTGGCTGAAGCGCATGGAAACTCGTACCATTGGGGCCCTCTGCAGCTTCCCAGCTCAATCACATGCTAATTTTTTTTGTAAACACTTTTATGTGATATATATGTAAATCTCCCTGTGCGCTGCTGCGCCATGTAGAGCAATACAGCGGGTGTGTCCTCCAGGGATGGGACACAGCGGGGAGCCTGAATGCAGATTTCCAATTATTCACAGGGATAATGTTCACAGAGAAGGGTCAAGTTTTTAATGTGGGCAGAGCCTTACTTTTCTTCCTAACGCTCTCATTTCATACTGTCCCATAGGCAGTGTGCTCTGCTCTCACCACAAACGTTACTTAACTCTTTTGATACCAAGAACATGAGGCCACCCCACTGCGCTGGGCAAAAGATGGCACACCAGAAAACCCACTCTTGGGATATACCAAAGGTTTTCAATGTTAAAAACAAACAAAAAAGGAAAAGATTAGAACACCTTTAAATACAGGGGGGAAATATATGCTGCCCAAAAATGCGGGCTCCTCACGTGCTGAAGACGCCTGGCCTCCATCTGGCCAAGCACCTTTGCTAGCTCACACAACTCCTTACCTGGGCATGCCTGGCACCTTTGCCATATGTCTGTGGTAAACGTTTGGATCACAAATCATCTCCCAGCTTTGTGGTCCCAGCACAGTTGGGTCTTGGTCTAGATTCAGGACACCTAAGCTGTGTCCTGTGTGAGCTGGGGAAAGCACAGCGCTTGCATCTCTCTCAGACCTGATGACCAGATCAACACCCCAAACTCTGCAGGAAGCATTGCAGAGAGTGAGACATCTCTGCCTTGGCCTTGCTATTCTTCAGCCACTAAAAGGCAAGCAGATTTCATGGCATATGCTAAGCTTGAGGCCTGCAGCTGAATAAATATCACAATCCACTCCAATGATAATCATCTGTCGTATTTCTACATACTCCTCTGTTCAAGGCAGTGTTCAACTTCATGATAACAGAGGGGAGAAAAATGTCTCCAAATTAATCACACGGATTTGTGTGCATGTGCAGTCCTGCAGACCGAGGAAAGAAAAGCAATTTTTGTGTTTGCCTTTGCTGCTAGGTATTCTCCTTGCAACGTGGCATTCTGCGTGGCTGATCCTCACAGATGCATGGCACATTAGCTACAGGAGAAGCAAAAAAACTCATAAGCTGATTGCAGTTTCTATATGTAAAGTCAAACACAGAGCATAGAGCCAAATGTCCTCCCCAGTGGATTTTTATGTGCGTATGTGCAGCATATGTGCAAGTACATGTGTATATTATCTCACAGGAAACATGCAAGCCCAAACATGGGAAAAATTCAATGATCTAAGTTCACCGTTGACATAAAAGTTGAGACTCCATTTGTACTAATGGGGCTGTGCTCACTTCAGCCAGTACTGAAGCTGGCCCTAGAATGAAACTCACCCAAATCCTGGATAAATTGAGAAAAAGAGAACAAAAGTTGGCCTACATGCAACAGCACGTTTTTCATGTTAAAAGCATTTCATTCCCTTTTTCTCCCCATATAATACGGCATTGATGTTTGTGACCCATTCGGATGTAAATCAAAATGGATGTGCTAAAAGCCTG